CCACTCAGCAGAAGAAAGGTGGCTATCTCCCCCCAAGGGATTTGCAGTCTCTGAAACCTGCTAAAGGGTCAGCTATGAGTTGATTTCGACTTGATGGCACCTAACAACAAAAACGTCTATGTTTAATTAATGGTTCTCATGCGAGGGCAATGTTGCCTGCCCTGGTGGAGCAAATGGTTTGTACGTGACTTATTCTTAAGTACTCACAGTGCATTGAACAGGAACAACAGCTCTGAACTGTGCTCTATCCTGTGCCATCCTCACAATTTCTGATATGCTCAAATTTGTGGTTACATGGTATCAATGCATCCTGTTAAGTAGCTTTCTCTTTTTTTTAATATTTTATTTATTTTTCATTTCAATGAACATCTACAGAGATTTTGGAATTCCATTCATTTATTTTTGCACCCTTCTCCCCACCCACACCCCCGCCCAAATATAATCCACTCTGCAACCCCCATTATGTACTCCTACGATAAACATAATGCCCTAAAATATAATACTATTAAACTATTCTCTCCCCCATAGACTTCAATGCCGTAAACATATTTCATCCAGTTTTTCTCAGTCTTACCACCCCCCCGATGCCAGCCTCATTTTACAACAGTGGCACCATATAGCATTTGTCCCTTTGTGACTGAGATACCTCACTCAGCATAATGTCCTCCAGAGTCACTCATTTTGAATAATATTGCATGAGTTCCTTGTTTTTCAATGCAGCATAGTATTCCACTGTGCGGATATACCACAGCTTCTCTACCCATTCGTTTGTTGATGGGCATTTAGGTTGTTTCCAACTCCTTGCTATTGTAAACAAAGCCACGATAAACATGGGTGTGCATATATCTGCTTGGATGTCATTTATGGTCTCTTTAGGGTATATTCCCAGTAGTGGAGTTGCTAGGTCAAATGGTATCTCTATTTGCAACTCTTTGAGAAAGCGCCACATCGCTTTCCACAGTAGTTGCACCATTTTACACTCCCATCAACAGTGAATAAGGGTTCCAGTCTCTCCACAACCTCGCGAGCATTTGTTGCTTGCTGTTCTGTTAAATTTTGCTAGTCTTACTGGTGTGAGATGGTGATGGTATCTCATGGTTGTCTTGATTTGCATCTCTCTCAGAGCTAGGGTATTTGAGCATTTCTTCATGTGCTTGTTGGCCATCTGAATGTCTTCCTTGGTGAAGTGTCTGTTCATATCCTGTGCCCATTTTTCAGTTGGATTATTCACCTTTATCTTGTTGTGGTGCTCAAGTATTTTATAAATTTTAGATGTAAGTCCCGTATCTTTCTCTCTTAACTGACCTTTCCCAGCATGATGTCTTTTTTCCAAGCCTGGTGACCACATGCCCTTGTCTCTAAGGAGCACCCTAGAATATACCACGGATGCCAAAAGAACAAACAAATCTGTCTTAGAGGAAGTGCCCTTAACTACTAACTGGAAAATGGAGCTCTCATCAGGGAGACTGTAGGAAGGTGCACTGCTAATCCAAGGGCAGCGATTCCCTGCTGATTCAAACCCTCCTAACTATTGGTGTTGTTGTTATGTGCCATTGAGCTGCCTGTGACTCACAGTGACCCTGTGTGCAACAACTCTGAAGCCTGCCCTGTCCTGAGCCAGACTCACCAACTCTAACATGCCTAAGCCCACTGCTCTAGTCACTGTATCAAACTATCTCAGCCAGGGTCTTCCTCTCTCATGTTGTCCCTCTACCCTTCCAAACATGATGTTCTTCTCCAAGGATTAGTCCCTCCTGGCCACATGCCCAAAGTATATGAGTCAGAGCTTCAAAATGCTAGCCTCCAAGGAAAAACCTGGTTTCACCCTCTCCAAAACAGACCTATTTGTTTTCTTGGTGGTCCATGGTATGTATGTTTAAGACTCTCCTCCAACACCACAACTCAAAGATAAACAGTTTCCTCACATGCAATTCACATCCTCCATAAACTCAATGGAGGGCCAACTATAAGTCAGCTCTGACTCCACGGCAATGGCTCTGACGAACCGAAGAAGGCTGGCAGGTTGAACTCATCCAGTAGCACTCCAGAAGAAAGGGCTGGTTCTCTGCCCTCCAGAGCACTTCTACCCTAACAGATGAGGTAACCATGTAGCAGCATCCACTCCTCAGCAATGGCTTTGGTTTCAAGCTATGTTTAGTTGTTACAGCTGTGGGGAGAATGTGCTATTGGCATCTAATTGGAGGCGTCAAGGATGCTAACTAAACATCCTACAGATGCAGGAAAGCTCACCAACACTAAGGATTTGGCTCCAGCCTCAAATGGCAGTGGTACTGGGAAATGAGAAACCCTGATTTGGAGGAAATAGTAATTATAATATCCTAGAGGTGTAAATCATAACATAAAGGGCTGCTACCCAAAAGGTCGGCAGTTTGAATCCACCAGCTGCTGCTCCTGGTGGGGGGGGGGAGATGAGAGGCTCTTCTCATTAAAGATTTGCAGCCCAGGAATCCAATGGAGAGTTGCAAGGTGACAGCTGTGATTTGGGGTCATTTCAGTGCCTGTTCCAAGACTCCAAGCATCATTTAAAAGAGCCACATCTTGTCTGGAGCATTAGGTGACCAGATGCGTGCTCAAGATCTGAGTCAAGCCTCTGATTAGAGTTGATAGAGGACATCATCAGTTCCCTGAATCCTGGAGATAAGCCACACTGGTGGGCTAAAAACTTTATCTTAAATTCTCAGATCTATCTCACCAAAAGAGCCTGGAAGTTGAACTTCTTCAGAGAATTCTTCCCTTTGGTGAATAGACATTGGTTCTGGTGTGTGTGTTGCCATCGACTCGGAACCAACCCATAATTGAACCCCCAGCAGGTTTTCAGAGGCAGTTAATAATTAATGAGAAGAGACTTCCCATCTTTCTCCCACAGAGCAGCTGGCGGATTTGAACCCTGTGTCTTTTGGATTGCAGTGAAACTTCTAACAGAAGATCTACGATGCCAAGAGCCTGGAGGATGAATTTCTTCAGAGAATTCTCCCCTCCAGTGAACAGTTGCTTTTGGTTCTGGTGGGCTGAGTGAATGGCAAATAGTTAACTCTTTATGATCCAAACTCCACTGAGGACACTGAATAAATGGCACTTCTGTCAGCAGCTGTGTGGGCCCACAGAACAGAGATAAGAGCAAAGACAAGTGTTCTTTGAGACTCACGGAAGGAGGAGGAGTCACAAGAGAGCCCTGGCTGACACCAGATCCCTGCTGGCTCTGCCACCTCCTCTCCCTTCAAAAACCCCGAGATGATAACTCCAACTGTCGCCCAGGTGCAGCACAGACTGCTCCAGCAAGGAAGGTGAAGGACCAAAAGGCTGCAGAGCTTGGCTCGGCTTTTAACCGAGGTACTGCTGCCTTTTGGGGGTCAAACAGTTCTTTTTGGTGGGGACCATCCTGCATATGAATGTTGAACAGCATCTCTGGCTTTTACTTAGTTGATCCTAAAAGTAGCCTTTTTTCAACTGTCACAAATAAAAATGTCTCCAAGCACATGTTAAATGGCCCCAAGGGGACAAAAAAAAAAATCCCAGTTGAGAACCAGTCACTGAAAACCATTCTGAACCTTTCTCCAGAGCAAGATGAGTGTGACTCCCAAGGAGTCACAGAACCAGACTTTTATAAAAACACACAAATCCTCAACACTAAGGTCATCTCTCTCTCTCAAACCCATGCAGTTTTGTACAAACAGTGCTGACCTGTATGTACTGCTCAGGACCCAGGAAATCAGCAGTGGGTCAAAGTCAAGACCTTGACCCCCAAGTTGCTTCCAATAGTGTGAGAAGCTGACCAATCCAAAAACCTCATTCACTCAAACTTAGATTAATCTGTTAAGAAGGAACCCAAACTAGATCCAGGAACTTAAATAAGCACCATGCCCCCAGAGCTGAGAGCCACTTGACAAACAGTGCTTCTCACACACCATCTCACTGCTACTTGAGGTCCCCATTTCACAGATGGGAACACTGAGGTGCAAGTGGCAGAGAAGAGGAACTGGGAGAGCTCCCTGTAGAGGTCACAGCACTGAGAGAACTACTGCCTACCGAAAGCTCTGGACACTCACTAGGAGAAAAGCCAAGTGGTCCACATCTCTTATGCCTAAGTTAGTCTAATGGCTTTGGATTCTGGGTTTCAGCTGGACTCTGTCCTAGGGACAGGTATCTTTAAGTGGGGCCACCAAGTGAACCAGCAGGGCAGGGCAAGGAAGAGAAGAATGCGAAGGCTCAGGTTGCACCACCCTTTACCCGGGGACCCAAAAGGCAAAGGGCAGGGACAGGTGACACAGTCTTCAGTTTCCCATTTTCCATTGCAGGCCTTGGCTAGGCAAGGGGAGGGAGGGAGAAAAAAGGGTCTGAAAGTAGTCTCCTCTCCCTCCCTGGGCTCTGGAACCTTCCTCTAACATGACATAGGGGAGGGAAAGACCTGCACCCAACAATCAATGCATCTTTTTGACTCTGACCCTATCCTAAAAGCAGGACAAACTTTAGGTGGCCTCCTCCTCCAAAATTGTCCTAGAGTTTTGGAACTCCACCTTCCACCACTCCTCTCCTGGTCCCAGTTCCGTGTGTGTGTGTGTGTGTGTGTGTGTGTGTGTGTGTGGTGTGTGTAGGTTATAATTCGGAATGGAGGGATTCTAATAGATTCCAAGGTTCCATGAGGGAGTGGTGGGGGGAGATGGAAGACTGAGGAAGAAGGAAGGAATGGAGGGGATCCAGAAGGTGGAGAACTGGTAGCTGCCTGACGAGTATGAAGGAATGTGGCGTGTCTACTAAGGTGGGGGATTTTAAGGTCCCTGGAGGAATGGAGCATTTAGGGTGCAGGGGACATGGAGGGCAATGGATCGGGGGTGGCTCAAGTAAGGGAGAATGTGAGGTGCCTGGGAGAGGATTCAGGGTGCCTAGGGAAGGGAGGATGGAGGCTGCCCGCAAGGAGGACTCAGGACCCGGGGCGCCCTCGGGTAAAGCGGCAGGCCGGGCTCCCCCTCCACCCAGCTCACCGAAGAAAGGCGGCAGGTGGGACACCGCCTCCAGGAAGGGCCCCGTCTCGATCTGCTTGTCCGCAGGCAGCGGTTTCAGGAGGTGCTCGGCCAGCAGCGCCATTTCGGGGTCGAGGCCCGCGGTGATACCCCAGCCGGCGCCGCGAGCGTCCACGCTGCCCCCCGGGCTGCTGCCGCCGTCAGCGCCCGGGCCGTCGGCCCCCTCCACAGCCTCCTGGGACGCCAGCGTCTCCACTTCCGCCCGCGCTGCGCCCGCGTAAGCCGAGCGCTCAGCGCCGCCCTCCGGCCGAGCGCCTAAACTGCCTGCCACACCGCCCCGCCCCCCGCCCACCCGCGCCCAATCAGCGGCCGCCGCCTCCGGTTTGCGCCCCGCCATTGGTGCGCTTTAGAGGGAGGCCCAGACTGCTTTAGCCGGATCGTGCAGGTGAGCCGCTCCCAGGTGAAAATTCCCAAGAGTGTCTGCCTCCTCCGGCTTGGGCCCCCGCCCTGGGCGGGCCGACTTGGACCTGGTCCTCGCCTAATGGGGGCGTGAAGCTGCCGGGGTAAACCCATCCCCCTATCCAGATTGCAGTCCCAGCTAGCCCCTCTGAAAGCCGGCTTCCCCAAATCCAAGACTTGCCTTTCAACAACTCCAAGTGACCTCAAAACATAAGCGAATTTATCCAGTGCCCAACTGGAGTCCAGTTTCCCAGAATTTGGAGTGCAGTCTAATGCCAAGTCTAATGTCACATGCTAGTCTCCGCACAGTTTATAGTTCAACTCAACCACTGTTGGCTGGATTCAGGTTTCTCAAGGTCTCACCTATCCCGAACCATCCAGGATACCTTCTCACATCATAACTCACCTGAACCACGACCCACCTAAAAGCTTATGCCCTAAAATCCAATGCCACATCTATCCAGATATCTAGCACACAGTTGTTGAATCTATCATTCATTCTAGAATAAATATAAAGTTGCCATCCAAGCAACATTCTAACTAGGGAGACAATAGGCAAATAAACAATTTCAAACATTGATAAGAAAACAAAACAAAAACATAGGATGAGTAAGGGCTGCTGGTGAAGACAGCCCGTGGGGCGGTGGTACTAGCAGTCTAGTTGGAATCAATTCATAGCTGACCCCCATCTGGTTTTCAGAGACTGCAAATCACACCGGGAGAGATTGCCCATCTTTCTCCCCAGCAGTAGCTGGTGAATTACTGGCACCAAGCCCCATTATGCTACATAGTAAGGTTGATGCAAGGAACCTGGAGAAGGGATGGGAGTGGAAACAGAGAGAATGGAAGGTAACCAGTTGGATGAGGTAAGGAATGGAAAGGAGCTTGAATTTTAAAGCCAATGAGGAATCAATCACTAGAAAAATATCTGTCAAATCTTGTTTTCAGTTTAACCTTTCAGGGGTCAGATGAGAGAAGAGATTGTTCCAAACCAAGAGCATAACCCAGGAAGTGAGCAGCCAGGGGGACACAAAGCCACTGTCATCTCTTGCTCATAACTCAGACCCTGACTTGTCCTAGTATGTCAGATCTCCCATAGATAGCAGCCCAAGCCATCAAGTATGTTCTGTTCCCACCCTGCCCAACCACATTGCCTTTGGCATCCTGAGATACCATCTCCTTAAAGGCTTACCTGCCTGCCCATATACTTGGCCCTATGTCAGAACCCCACACACCTTTCAGACTCTTCCATCAGCTCCAGAGAGAGAGAGAGAGATCACCACCCACGTGGAGACCTCTGGCATCAGATGGTACCTTGATTTCTCAATTCGCTCCACCCCAGCTGAACCACCCAGAGACTATGACTGATAAAAGACATTTAAGTCTGTGAGTTGCTGTGCCATAGAACATAGACTGTGCATCCTGGTCCTTATTCTGGGTTAATGGAGATCAAAAGTATGTCCATCCATCAATTGAGAAATTGAAAAAAATCTTCAATAGATAAATCTTTAATACATAGAGTTTGAAAGTATGTCCATGCATTCACTGAAAAATAAAAAATCTTTTACAGATCTGTTCATTTATCCATTGATATCTCTATTCATCAATCCATTGATAGATTCATCTATCCATCTATTGAAAGACCCATCCATTATTCATGCATCCACTCACTCTTCCAACAAATGTTTCTCATGCTTACTCTGGAACAGTGTCTTGCCTTCCCATAGCTTATATACCAGGGTCTGAGCTGGTACCATAACTAGGTGCTGTAGACTCAGAGGTACACAATAAGGAAAGGTGAGGACTTTGAAAACTGGAAGATACATGAGCCGACTTAAGGCTTCCATAGCTCTTTGCTTGACCAGCCATGGTCCAGAGTTATCAACTTTTTAGATTTCTCAAGAATCTGTAAGGAGTTGCGTTGCCAACCCAAAGACACGTAGTTCAAATCCACTAGCTGCTCCAAGGGAGAAAGGTGGGCTGTCTTCCACACTATTTACAATCTCTGAAGGAAGATCAACTCTGAGTCAATTCTGATTCAAGGGTACGTAACAACAACAAGAAATTTAGAAATCTAGATTTGCAGATAACATACCTTGACTTTTTCTTATTTGGCACCTGGTTCAAATTTAAAAGAAATACTAAGCCACATAAAACATATATTCCTTTTCTTTTGGTGCCAAGTCAAACGTGCAGACAAGTTGTAATTATAGTGCAAAGAACTTGTTTTTCCTGAACTGTTTGCATACAGATTGCTGACAATGCCTCATTAACCTGAACATTTTAATGTGTATTTCCTCCAAACAAGATCATTCTTCTATACACTACCCATAAAAATCAGAGCATTAACATTAATATATTGTTATTCAATGCTCCTTCAGTCGACTGTGACTCATAGATACCCTATGAACAACAGAGAGGGATCTTGCCTTATCTTGTACCATCCTAACCATCTCTATCCCATTGCTAGCCCCACTATGTCAACCGATCTTGTGGGTGGTCTTCCTCTTTTCTCTGACCCTTCACCTTTCCCAGCATGACATCTTTTTCTGAGTACTGAACCCTGCTAACAGCATGTCCAGAATATGTGAGAAAAACTCTCACAATCCTTGCCTTTGAGGAGCACTCTGGTTGCACTTCGTCCAAGACAGACTTGTTTGTTCTTTTGGCAGTTCATGGGATATTCATTACTCTTTTCAATGCCACAATTCAAAGGCATCAATTCTTCTTCTGTCATCTTTATTTGTTGTCCAACTTCCAGATGCATAAACAAATGAAAATAGCATGATTTGTATGAGGTGCATCTTAGTCTTTAAACTGACATCCTTGCTCTCTAGGACTTTGCAGAGGTTCTTGAACAGCCCATTTTCCCAATGAAGTACATCTGTTCTAAAATTCAGATCCCATTCAAATTTTGCCAACTGTCCCAAGCATACCCTTTGTAGTATTAGGAACACTCACAACATGTAGTTGTCCTGACTCTTAGTTTTGTTTTTAAAGCTTGTCTTTTTATTGCTGGATGGTAATAGACTTTAGATTTTGTTGAAAGCAGCCACATCCAGTCTTCAGAAGCAGTTATCTGTTCTTCTAGCATGTCTGTGCGACACACTGTATTTGAAGCTTCTAGCTTGGAAGACCCCAGAACAAGACATCTGTCTGAATCCTTCTCAGACACTCTTCCAGTTTTGCCATGTCGTTTTCATCATCCCGAGTTTTCACATCTAGTAAGATTGAAGACTTGGCAACAAGTGCAGGGTTTTTTCGGCTTTATTTGATTCATACTGTGCAAGACGTTCTTCGCTTCACTTCTGTGCTTCCTCCCTTTCCTCCTTCTTAGATCCAAAGAGATCAATGTCCTCTTCATCTTTACTGTCTGCAGCTCCACCCCCTGTGGTGTCCTCCATTTTAGCAGATCCATGCTTGCCCAAAGCTTTCTTCACTCCTGGCAGGCTGGCTTTTTCCTTCTTATAAGACTTGAAGTGATTATACCAATGTAGGGCATGACACATGTCAGCAGGTGGGGGGCTGAAGATGGCTTCAAACACCACCACATCTGCTTGTGATGGCACATACCCCATCTTTAGGTCTCCGAAGCCCATGATGTCGGCTGTGTCTGGAGCTAGGCAGCAGCAAAGGCCAAAAAGAAGGGAAGAAGTCGTCCCCAAGAATTCAAAGGTGGTACTCCTGAGTACTTCCCTTTACAACTGTCCTCAGTCTTCTGCTTGTCCTTTGAAGAAGACAAGTCAATAATCTTGTACAATTCTCTTTCACTTTCTCTCGTCTGATGTTTCCTAGCAGTTAAATCAAAGTTGTGCATTTTGACAAGTTGTTATTGTGTGCCATCTCGTTAGAACTGACTTGTAGCTGCCCCTTTTGTGGGTTTTTAGAGGCTGAGAATCTCAAGGGAAGAGATTGCCTCTCTTTTTCTCCTGTGGAGCAGCTGATGGCTTTGAACTGAACCACCAGAGCTCCCTACGTTTTGACAAGAGTACCTCAGAAATGATGCTGTATTTCATTGGATTATAGTAGATGACATGTGACTTTGATTTGTCCTGTTACTAGTGATATTAACTCTGATCACTTGAGTTGATGTGAGGTGAAGCTTTGTGCACTATGAAGTGATCCTTTTTCTCTTTGAACTATCTCTGTGTTTCCTAGGGAGGTCTTTTGTGGTTAGGTAAACATCCCATCTCTCTGTACACTTTCCAGTTCTTTAATTCCACCAGTTTGGACAGAAAATTCTATTGCTATTATCTGTTTGAGTGATTATGCTATCTCTTATTTGTCCTTTCAAGTTGACTTTTTTAAAAAAAAATTCTTTTATTAGTTTTTGTGTGTGTACCGTCAAATCGGATCTGACTGGTACGGGAGGAATTGCCTCTCCTTCTCCAGCAGAGCTTCTGGTGGATTCAAACTGTGCACTTCTGGGATTGTAGTGCAGCTTCTTGCCACTAGGCCACCAGAGCTCCCCTTCAAGCAGACTTTTATTGTCCTTTTAATATGCTCCATCATTCTTTATGTTATTGTTATGTACCATCAAGTCAGAACTGATTCAAAACTGACCCTCCAACAGCTTTCAAAAGCTGTGTATTGCACAGTGGGAGACAGACCTTTGTCTTCCCATAGGGGTAGCTGGTGGGTTACAACTGCCTGTCTTTGAGTGGGCAACACAAATCCTTAACTGCTAGGCCATCAGAGCTTTTTACACTCATCCTTTTCCCCGGTGGCTTAGTCCATAGCAAATTGCTCTACTGACCCAGAGACTGAGTGT